GGTAAGGATCGGTTGCGATCGGTAGTTACCGATCTTTTTTTTCTTTTTTTTTTTTCATTTGATCGCGTGCACGAGGGAGTGGTAGCTTGAAATAGGCGCTAACTATCCGCTTTGTAGCGATCGGTAATGTCCGGATTATCGCTAATTCGCAGGATCTTATCGGACGTGAATCACGTGTTGTTGCCCACACACAATATAATCATCTTTAAGAACGCTAATGTGTACGCGCAGTTAATCAGCGAAAATTGATTATAACGAGTTGACAGGAGAAAACGAAGTCGCGATCTCTCTTTTGAAGGATTTCATTTCGATTTTTATTGTGCCGATGATGCGCAGCTGCGTACCCTACTATATAGCTATACGAGCACTCGACGCAGTCTACATATATTTGAATGACTCTTTTTTAAGTCCCGATGGGGCGGGATGCGTGGGTTTGGCGAGGGCGGAGGGGGAGTGGTACACGGGCTATATTATGTCGGTATCGAAGATAGGCCGGTGTGGTCTGCACTCGATGTGAGACTCGAGTGCTGACGCAGCACTCCGAAGTTCAAACATCCAAACATCGCGATCTTTCGCCGTCTGTCAGGTCCTCTTGAAGGCTGGAGGACCACTTATCCAAGTCCCTCGGGTTCTCGCGGTCCACTTCACTTCACTTCGCCACTTCACCATCCAGCCGTCTTCCTCGTACGTGTTCATCCTATTCCACGTTCTCGCTCTCCACTACCGGCAATTGCGCCAGTGGTGGTAATGGCGGCGCTCCTAGTGCGTTTTCTAAACGGAAGCCACTCCAAGTCACCAGACGACTCCTCTGTCAATGGACCCCGAATTGATTGTACTGTATTTACTTTGCCTTTGCGTATTATACTTAAATATCGTCTAAATTTGACTACGGCAATCGTGGCTTCACCATCGCTTTATGGATTCATTTCTCTTCAGCTCCTTAATCCATCTCCTGGATGATGTTCATGTATATTCGTTTATATACCAGCTTGGTACTGAGTACCCGGTACGTGGTTTCTTTCTTTCTAGTTTTTTAAAATGTAAAATAGGAAAAAAAAATGTTGCTTTTGAGAACGAACCGATAGATTCTTCGTCGCTGGCGCCTCTGACGGCCACGAAAGCTACTCGCTCTTTATTGATGAAGAAAATCATGTCGGCTGACTCTATAGAGAAAAATTGACCGCGAAACGGAAATTGAAATGAGGGACGAATTTTACAGCAGCCTCCAACCCTCCTTCGGGCTCGTTTCAATTTTCTCGGATGACGCGCGACGCGGACTTAAGGAACAAGCGGGGTTGTGTTTACCCTCCTGGTGTTAGTCCCTAGGGCGGTATGGGAAGCGAGCTTATATCCTAGGCGCGGCGTTCCTTGGGATTTGAAGTACCTCAGGATATTGGATTATCGGGATATCTTCGTAGAAGAGGGTTGGGTTAGGGTTTTATGTGGGGGATACCGAGGACTCTAGAACGAGGACGGGAGGCGGGATGCGGGTACCTACGGTGGATCGTAGGATAGAAAGCATTCGCTTCACGTCACCATTTTACAGGCTAACAATTTTATCGGCGTATTTTCTCGCTTTGCATTTTCCATGCCGACGACGACGCCACTCTGCGAGTTCCTGGCTGGCGTTAGGCGGCCCTCCCTTTCTACTTGCTATAGGAGCATGCTTTTAGCCATACCTAGAGACCTGCACGTATAATATAACCTTTACGATCTTAACCTTTTCCTACTATACTTTTTTTTCTTCCTTCGTGTTTCCTAATCTCTCATCTCGTTCTACGAACACGTAGGAAAAAGACTGAGTGAGGATGCGGGGAACGTGGGGAGATGCCCTTCTGCGCTTAAGCATCCCTAGGATGTACATGCACGGATGTACGGATACGCTAAGGAATGTATCTTTTTTTTTTACCGATTACCCTTTATCCTCGAGAAAACCTTATTTCGCCTTCTTAAAGCGTTCAGTCTGCGATTCGAAAATCCCTGGATAGGTAGCTGCTGGGTGGACAGGTTAGGTTGGGTCATTTAGAGAAAATTAAAAAAGAAGGCCCTTACCTCTCTATTTCCTCTTGGTGATATTCGCGACAGAGTCTCTTTACAGTGCCGGTACCCAAGCATTCAACGAGTCGGTGAGTTCCTTGGTAAGTGTATATTTTTGTTTCCTCAAGACCATACTCTTGGATACCCCTGTAAAATTCGCAAAGTCGTCTTCAACTTACAGTACAGTCCCAGCCATCTTAACCCCGAAGATGGTCTTTGTGCGGGTTCGAAAAGATAAAAATAAAGGGGGAAAGAGGATATAAGAAAGAAAATAACACAGAGGGAAAAATAAAAGAGTGAAGGAGCTGGATCTCCCGGTGAAAGAAAGCGCGAGAGTCTACGTTCCTGAGTGGTAGCTACTCTTTGTGAGAAAGCTTCAGGCTCGACCGCACCTACCTCTACCCCATTCATTATTTTCTTGGTCGCTTCTCTCTCCCGGGGAAAACTTCCCGGCAACGCAATTACGTCTACAGCCCAACCCTCCAACGGCTCCATCCTCGTACTCTCCTGCAGCTATGGCCACCCTCCTGGCTACCCTTGAGCCACCCTTTACCCACAATTTCCCAGCCCCCCCTTCATCCCCCCCTCCCCCGATCTCCTCCTCCGTCCTCCTCGAAAGGTTCCACTCTTCCAGCTCGATCTCGCACCGCCTGCTACTGCCTGGCTCCCCTGCCAACCCCTATACACCAGCCACCCTTCTTTACCCACGACTCTTCTTTGTCGTCCTCGGAGCCTCCCCTCACCCCAATTCTCAACCCTCTTTTTAGCCCAACCATCCTTACACGAGATTCGCGGATAGCTCGGCTCATTTTCGCGTACGTTATAATTAGTGGCTTAATGACTAGCACTCAGAGGGCGACGGGTAATTAAAACAACAACTTCGTATTCTCCCTTCTGCCTCGTTCCTCCCCTCCCTCTCCCTCTGGCCCCTCTCTCTTTCTCCCACTCTCTTTGGTTCTCTCATCTTGAACTCTCATCTAGCCCAGCCTCACCCTGACTACTCAGGTCTGCCGCTCGAGACTCGAGAGGGAAACTTGCCAAGAATTTTAGTGGCCGCGATATTTCAATTAGCGTCTGCCGCCCGTTTAAACAGCACCGAAAGGAAACACGTCGCGGACGCGTGTTCGCCAGCTACTACAACTGTCAAAACTATCAGGGACGCCGTCGGGACGCCGCTTCCGGTATCAGACATCTTGTAACTGCCGTGATACCTTGTAACTCCTGCTCCACTGCCTCAGATGATTTGAGGTCCAGCTGCTTAATTGTAAATAATGTTTACGTCATACGGTCAGCCTATTGCAGTTACTCGACCGGTTAAATTCCCGTGGCCGACGAATTCATTACCGTTACTATAATTTTTCCTGTCAACTGCTACTGGTTATTTTATAAAAATTTTAGCCACATTATCCTTTACCTTGATTAACGACTGCAATTCGCCACTGATTTACTTCATTCGATTGCAACGTTAAAATTTCGCTGCTTTGCTTTCTGTACGAACCAGAGTTAAACTAGAACGACGCGCATTCTACGCCAGTGTTAATTTCGTACAGATTCCCTGGACCGTGCCCATCATCCCTAATCTCGTATGTATCCGTTACCTCCGACACGTCTTGGACCGCTGAAATATACGCGGAGGCTGGAACTATTTTTATTTTTCGGATTCTTGCCGCTCTAAAGTCTTGAAACACGGCCAAATGTTGTTTCGTTGCTTACGCCTTGCTTGTTGAGCGATCGATAAAAGTCTAACGAACTGGTGTTTTAGATGTCATTCGAGTAAATAGACGGATGCTGTGAAACGATGTCTATATTAAAGATTTGGTAGTGGTTCGCTTGCAAACAATTGTCAGCTGTTGATAATTTGCTCTACGTCGCGAGCATCGGCCTGGGTCTCCTTATATCGCTTGATATCTATACTCGTTTGGTATTGAGATTTATGTATGATACTTGTGTTTGCGTTGTAATTTATTACAAAGATTGAGAGTGAGTAGTGAATGTAATCGGCGCGAGCAGCGTATGTGATTATGCGTTGATAAACCCATATGAATATGTATACATGCAATCACGCGAAGGATATAATATTTGGTATCGCAGTGAAGCTCACCAGCGACGTTGAGCTTTAAGGGAAAAAGATTATTCAAATTCTAAATGATCACAATGACACAAGAACACTGAATTCGTGGTGGCAGAACTATGCAGCGATTCACTCGTTCGTTTTTCTTAGTATCTTGGCTCAACACAACTTGTTTTACACTAAGATCCACTAAGACTCATAATTTGGATGGAAGAAAAAGAATGACTTTCTTAGATGAGGCTCCTAAGACCCATTGTACCTACGCGAGAGCGTCATGGATCTAGAGAAGGGATGATAAAATGCTGATTCTATGCATTTCACAGTCGTGGCTCCATCATGGATCCTTCCTGGTTCCTGCGGTCTCGTCGGGTTAAAGGCAGGAACCTCCGAGTTCGCAGTCCTAAAATTCGTAGGTTTACACCAAGTTCAACAAAATCTCTGTCTCTTAATCATTGATGATATTAATGGGAACATTCCGTTACGAAGTATTTTCATGGACTTATTGCTTTATGATCATCGCTGTTTTATTCTTAGGTCAGACTATGGAGGAGCCAGGTGTTCGTAAAGACCGATTGCAATCACGCGTTGTTTTTGGAAAAAATAAATGGGCACGGGAATTTGGTGAAATTTTTTCGGGCTTAATCGCGTCGGACGTAGATCCTCTCTCCAGAATGTAACACCTAATTTAACGATATGATTTATATGTATATGTATACTTATAAATTATAGGGCTATAGCCCCACACGATACGCGGTACTTTCGTCGAGGAACGACCGAGCGAAAACTCTTTTAATCCGATTGAAAATAATGAAAGCCGAAAGTCACGTTGATTCCGCTCTGATGTAATCGCACTGAATGCCTGGATGTATATGGAATTTTTTTTTACTTTCAGACGGAAATAGCAAAGCGCCTCAACGCCATCATCGCGCAGATTCTGCCATTTCTATCCCAAGAACATCAGCAGCAAGTAGCAACAGCCGTGGACAGAGCCAAGCAGGTCACCATGACGGAGCTTAACGCCATTATAGGGGTATGTCGAGATATGATTTTACAAAATTTCTCATATCACATTTTTTTCACATCTCGTTATCGAGTCTCAAACTCAAACTGAAAATCCACTATTTTCCTTTTAAACGAATGAGAACCACTGCCAGTCACGAAGAGACTCTAAGAAAAGTGCCCACGTTTTCGGAATTTGAAATGAGAGATACGTTACTTCCCCCACCCAACGCCTACCTCAATCCCCGAATACTCGATATTGCTCAACCACTCAATTTCCTCCGTATTAAGCTCCAGACCTTAAGACCCATCACCATCAAATCCTCCTATTCTAACCCCATTTACTCGCGTCCGTGATGCCGCGAATAATTTCAAATCTCAATCCTGACGGAAGGTTCTAACTGAAAGGACCTGTATCGGTTATGTACTTTATAGCCCGTTATACCGCGTGAACAACTAATTGATATTCGTCCCGACGTTACGTGGAAACTTCAGATTCGGACAGATGCTGCGTACATGGTCAAATCTTTAAGAGGAACACCTGAAAGTTTGGACCTTTAACTTGTTTCCGGTTTCAAGATGGACGCGCCATCTGGAGCTCCTTTCGCGTTATCGTATTTTATAAATTTCTTGAAATTATCGATTATCGCTGTCGAGAACTCGGCAAGTATTCTTAACATGAAAAGCTGATCGAGTCTGATAAAGCGCAAATGGTTTCCCGTGTAAACTTTTAACATGTTCAAAAGGTTTTATATTGAAAGGATAATTTTAATAGCGCCTTTGATAAATTCAAGGTCCGTATCTATTGAAATGAATTTACGGGTTCCTTTGAAACGTTTATTCCCCCTTCTTTGTTATTTGATGAAATTTAAAAAAAAAAAAAAACCTGACGATATACCACTGCGTAATGTCCCTAATGGAATGAATATAAGCTTTGGTATATCTTTATAAATTTCAAATCCACCGGAATGAATTTTCACCGGAAGTGGCACCGGACGTAAGCACGGAGAAAGGAAGCGAAGTGAAAGAGCATTCACGGCAGATCCATGCGATTCGGAAACTGCAGAGTTTCCTGCCGCTATGTAATGTCGGTTTCCGGTACCATGAAATCCTCCAAAGTTTTCATCCTTCATTTACTCATTCCACTAATCTACTTTGTTCTCCGCGTTCTCCTTCCCCACACTTTCTAGCTACTACCAAACTGTCTGCACTCCATTACGCTATATCATATTAGACACGCACACACACCATGCCACCGTAGACTCTGGCATAGTAGACTACAGTGTTGCCGACCCTGGGTTATTATATCGTTAAGCCATTTAATTATCTCGGCAAACTAGTCTCTCGCCTTCTCTCTCTCTCTCTCTCTCGCTCTCTCTTCCTCTTCTTCCTTCTCCGACTCTCCCGGAATACTCAGCAGCGCCGCGGCATCGGCTAATAAACGTAGCTACGGTGTCGTCCTGGTTAAAGCTCGTCTCGCCGGACTTGTATCCCACTTGCCAAGTTTCCACGAACTAAACTGTATTCCGTAACCCAGTGTCTCGCTAATAATTCCCGAGACTTTCTCAGCGTCAAGCGATAAATGTTCTCGCGTCGTTCCCAGTGGATACAGCCTTTAGCTTCAACCTTTTTTTCCTGCTTCACAACGATCCGTGAACTGTAATAACTGTAATTACGTGATTCCTCAGTGTTCCTTTTTTGCCTCGAGTTACTGCAGGACGACTGATAGTTTCTATCTTAATTATTCGACCGAAGGGACCCGGAGATGAGCAAGGTGGTATCGCTGGATGTCTATCTAAATACCTATCCCTCCAGAGTTGATAATGTACCGGGTTCGTTGAGTCAGGTCGGGCTAGGCTTGATTTTGACACGTTCGGCAAACAGGCTCTTCTAACGAAGCGCTTCACGTTTCAGCAACAGAGGCCGGACCTGCCCAGGCTACTTCAGCAGATGCACGCGCAGCAGCTTCCCCCGGGTGCAGGAATGGGACCCCATCCAGGATTGCCCGGATTGCCCGGTCTCGGACCCGGTGCTGGTTTACCTGTGCCGACCTCAGCGTCGGCCCTCCTGGGTCTCGGCCTACCACCGGGTGCCGGTTCAACCCCTGGAGGTAGCGCAGCGCATCCCCTATCGATGCTCGCCAAGCCTGAACTCCATCGGGGTCAACCTGATGACCTCAAACCCAACGGAGGTGAGTGCTGTTATGGATCCCTACTAGACGTGCCCTATGCAGAATAGATGCCTATGCACTCGGGTAGCCGAGGATGCGGTCGTCCCAATTTAAACAAAAGCACCTCCACCCACCTGCCAACCCATCCTCCCCCCCCTTTCTTTTATCTCGCTAGTTTTCCCCCCTCTCTCGACTTGTTTTATCCTACGCTGACTTCTTCGTCTCCTTTATCTTGCTTCTTTCTTCGAGTCGAGTGCGTTCCTTTTTTTTTCTTTTCTTTTTTTTTTATGCCATGTCGGCACACGCTCCACTGGCTGACTGCTTGTCGACCTTTTACACTCGATGCTTATCCTCCTAGAGTCACGATGGAGGGCGTCGTTTCCATTCTTCAGGGTCTCCTGCACCCCCGCCCGAGATTGCTAGATGGTGTCCCCGGCATTGTGTGAAACTTGCGTACATATATCACCCGCTATAACGGGGGAGGATACGTGTATCCGTATACGCGAAGGGCGAAGGTCTTAGAAAGAGGACTGCGACCGATAGGAAGAAGAGCGTTCACACTTCCAAGAGGGCGAGTAACGCTGACAAAGTTATAAGGGTTCGGAGGAGGCTCCGTCTCGAGGGTCCTCGGAATCTACCCTTGACACGAGGGTGCTTCCGACCAATCCTCTCCTCGTTCACGTTTGCTCCGACATCCCTCGCGAACTTCCTAACCAGGAGGACCTTTCCGTAGCGTTCCCTCCTTTTCCTAGCTTAACCTCCTCGCAGCTACACTTTGACCCTTATGCTTCCTGAGTCTTCGTCCCTGTATAGTCAGGACCGTTGCTGCTCGAACCCTTCCGATTTTTAGTATATTATTTTACACGTAGAACGTCTATCCGGCTAGTCGATGTTGATATTACGTATATTTGCTTCTAAAGTTATTTCGTAGGGTTTGGATGGGTTTCCAATTTTCTTCACTTTCTTGCAAGTCTTCCCAGCAATCTCTTCCGCTTTCGTTGCCAGGCGCTCTTTTCTTCTGCCATTCTCCGTTGTTTCGCGGCTTATCGGCAACTTTAATGAAATACCGTATGCTAGCTGCACAGTGTGGAAGCCACTGTGTTTGGACGCCCACGCGCTTTTTTGTCTCACAGAAACACGTATTCGATTTCTTATCAACTCGCGGGGCATGCATTATTGTGCAGCTAACTAATCCAAAAGTAATCCCATTCGGGAAGATTAAAGTTTAATTCATCGGAACTTGTGGGTCTTCGAAAAAGAATACTCGGAAAAGGTTGAAAGTAAGGTTAGGTTAGGTGGAGTCGGAGGTGCCCCGCCAGAGCAGGAAGGGCTACTTATAAAATTAGTGAAGGTGCTAAGGAAGAAAAATTATATGAATCATATGTGATCGAGAGTTTGACCATATATTGTTTTATACTGATTGTATATCAATCGTATATAAAATAATCCTAACAAACAATATACATATGTATACTTGAAAGAAATAATTAGTGTATTCATTAACAATTTTTTTTATTTTTATTTATGTCGTAACAGATGTCACATACATCTTCAGCAATTATTATTGTCATATACGATTCGTATGGAATTCGGTATAAATTAAATCAGGCCAAAATCTTATACTAATCGTATACGAACCATATACCTTTTTTACACGGGTGTAGCAGCCATAATAATATTTTTCATTGCTCTGACGGCATAATTTCCTCACGGGATTCGTCTTATCTCACCCTTACATCATGCAGGACATGAACATTGCTCATAATAAAAATTAATAAGTTTAAGGTTTCGACTCTCCAACTAAATAACAGATATGCACGAGAGTCGCAGAATGTCTGTATAATACAACAGCTAAATATTATCTAATCAGTGAGCACGGCACGTTCGATGCATTAAACACGTAGGGCCGGCCAGAGTACTTGGAGAATCGTTTTAACGTTTCACGTCCTGAATTACGTTCGAAGAAACGTGAAAATGAATCCTGCACGCTTCCCGATGCTGCTTCGTAAATTTAAAATTCCCGCGGCGTCCCTAAGACTCTGCTACAGGGTAATCATTCAAAGTCGCGAATGGCCTTTGTCGTTTACCGAGAATTCCGGTGGAAGCGTTTGACGCCAATAACAATTATCATCCGAGGAGTACATGGTAAGACGTCAGTGACGCCGGTAAGTCAGTTCCCTGGGGAGGCCGGTATAACAGGGCGAGCACAAGAAGGCAATTCACATTAGAATCTTATACCAGCCTTCTTGCGGTTGCTGTCCTTACTTTCCTACTCCTCAGCCACGTCAACTCTCTCGCCCCAAACCACATTCTACTTCTGTGCCAACCAGCGGAACGACCTCTTTGCGTTTTAGTGGGAAATTATGCGCGTTCTTCCGTATCCGTTTACGAGGTCGAGAGACCGGGGTGGTTTTACGGGAACAAGGGTGGCTACCACCCCTCCGACAACCGAGGGTCGGAAAGCTCGAAGTTACCGAGACGGACAGAGAAGCTCCTGAAGGTTCCGCAGACCCTTCAGTAACGTTGACTTCCCTGGTTTCCTTGCTCGGGGGGGATGATATCGCGCATTTACTGCCACGCTTCCCCTTACCGACCTCCATTTACAACCCCGCGGACTTCGTAATAATCGAGAAATATGAGAAAATTCTTCCCAACCCTCGCATAAAAGCACCGTCAATAACTTTGACCCGTTTCTGTGTCCGTACATGCCATACACGTATCACGTATCGTATACCTGCTTATCATGTATCTATTGTATGCAGTGTGTATATATAGGTATAGGGCGACGTGTGTTATGTATTTACGTGTACGAGCGCAGAAGATTCGCTATACAAGTTGAGGGTAAAGATATTCCGTGCAAAATGTCTTCATGGCGAAACTTCATAGTGGCATATACAGCCTGTGTTACTCGGCATGGCGGATTCTGGTGATTCTCTTATACAGGGAGTTATTCGAAGAGTTTGTATGAAAAGAATGCAAACAATAAAATAATGAATTTCCCAGCTAGAATTTATACTTATTTTTTCTTTTGCTCTTTTTATGTTACAGGGTTAAACCCTGCTGAGGAGAGGCATGTAAGTATACGACTCAATGTTATATTAATAATACTTTCTACATTGCACAGCCGTTTGAGAACCGTGCACTATGCATTGTGTTTCTTCTTTCTCTTTTCTTTCCTCCTGCAACTTGTACTATCTCGAGAGGACTACAGGTCGTATTATGCATTGCACTTGACAGTATAGCATGCGCGAAACAGTACTAGGAACTCCCGGCAGATGTCGCGGCAAAACATTTCCCATTCGTATCCTCTTTTTTTCATTATAACGATGGCGCGCACAACGAGAGAGAGGTAAAGTTCCCGAAACTCTAAGATATAATAATAGGAAGCACGTAAATAGCCAGGTAAATAAAAAAATTCTAATTATAAAAGTAAGTAAAAATGTTTTAGCATGCAAACATTACATTTTCCACGTATTTCTTTCTCTCTCTCTCTCTCTCTCTCTCTCTCTCTCTCTCTCTCTCTCTCTCTCTCTCTTTCTCTCTCTCTTTCTCTCAGAGTCATGCCCCACAAAGTTACCTTGGCTTTCATACTCGGTGGCGCATAAAATTTCACGTCGTAAAAAAGATTAGATACCAGACTGGTCGACGTATATATTTAGGTATAGCACGTGCATGCAGGCAGACCCTGCTCTCCGATTGGTCGGAACATGAAAGCCTTTTTCGCGGCCGACGCGTTATGTTAACCCCAACGAATGGACAAGCAGCCAGCGAGCGAATAAGCCCGCGTACGTAAAAAGCTTGTGCTCGCTTTTGCTAGCGAAGCCGTGAAAAGTGCCGGCATAAAGCAGCACGCGGAGCACATCAGTAGCAGCCGCTTATTAAAAGCCCCTGAAACGTTAACGCAGTTAGCGGCTTGCGCCAACCGGTATAAATGGGTATCGCGATGATGGTGGCGCGCGGAACGGCGGCTGGGCGAACGTCAGACAGGGGCGTAGAGCATAGGGTGCCTATTCAGGGCCTTGCAATTATTTTTTACCGTCCAACTTTTGCGACGCGCAAAATTATTTTTTGGCATTAGTAGCATACAATTATGTTTAATATTGGCATTTTTTGGAATTACCAATACTTATGCTTATCTATAAATTGTTGTGTAATACGAAGGGCGTACGTACGTGGGTGAAATATTTTTTGTACGGCTGCCACGAGAAGGCATAAGTTTACTATATTTTACTTTTTATTGCGAAAAATGGAATTTCCGTGTGGAACAAATAGCATGTGGTTAATATGATTTATTCAGCGTATTGTAATTTTTTGACGTATTGCTTTCATTTAGGACGACCTATTTTCTTGGCAAATTTCTCGTTTTCGACTATCTTACGCATGCGTAAAATATATGTACCATGCCATATAGATATATAGAAAAAATTGAACGATCCTGTTACACGGAAGGCGATGGATAACAGACGCATATACATATATCGACGCTTAATCTCGAAGCAGGGGGGATTTATTTTCCCGATGTTGGATACTAAAGAAAGAAAGCTCCTTGGATTCAGACTTAGCTTTTTTCTTTTATTTATTTTCCTTTACCCTTATCCCATTTCTTATTTCTCTTGTATCTATTTCTTAGATTCTTCGTTTCTTATATGGTTCGAATATTCCATATGGTTATATAACATTTTTGAATTTAAAGCGACTAGTACCGATATACCTATATCGATATGAATACATCCCATACTTGTCAATGCTCATTATTTTCCCATTGTTACTTGAAACGTTCTTGAAAGTACTTTTATACTCTTTTTCTTCAATCCTTTGGTACTTCTCGTTACGGACGGTTGCACAAGAAAGATTTTTCCTAGAATACAGTGCCGTTATTATCGGATCTTGAAAATGATATACTCCGAAGAGTCGTATCGTTACCCGTCATACAGCATCTACATTGGTATGAAAATTCGTAACGCAATCTTAAATCTAAATTTTCCCGATATATGACATAAAATAAAATTAATCTTGAACTTTGACAAAATTAATTTTTACTTGTTGGTATTACTCGGCATTACGAATATAAATCTTTTCATATCTAATGACAGCATTAGGTACTGTCAGTGCGAGGACTATCTATCCAGCCCTGGCGCAACCAAAGAATTCGTTATCGATCTGTCGGGTTTTTATAAATTTGCTTCTTTTGTCTCGTTTATTTTTTTTTCGGCTGGCGGTACCGACCGCGGTCGGTTCACGGTACGAAATTAAATCTGAAATAAAGTGCAAATAAACGAGTGGTCCCGTGTGCGAGGGTCTCCATGAGTTTACATATGCACGTGTGTGCATCGACTATAGAGACCCGAAAGGGTGTATACGTGCGCGCAGCACAGGGGATGAGGGATGAGTTGACAGAAGGGTAAAAGGGGTAGAGGACCGGGTAAAAAATCGGCGATGCGAAAGTGTAATTCATTTTAATTAGAGTGGCTGCATTATGTAAGCGGGATCGCGAGTGACGCGTCTGTGAAAGGGTTGAAAGGGTAGAAATCGCAGGGTCTGACACGACTCCGACGAGAACGAGGGGGATGAATGGGGAGTTGGGGGGGATGGGTAGTGATGTCATCCTCTGCCCAGCCTCTTCATCCCTCGCTTCGCCAACCCTCTACCGCCGTGAGACTACCCCCACCCCCCCCTCCACCCTCCCTCTCGACCAGAAGAGACTAATTCGCCAAACCACTCCTTGCTGTCGCGACCCTTCTCGCGCAGTGCCCCGTCAAGGTACTCGACTCCGTTGGTATAGAAGGGCACTCCCGATCCCTTCTGCCTTACCGACACCTCTGATCTCGTTAGGGACGCATTAATTAATTTACAAGATGGCGGCGGCAGCAGTGGCGCCGCAAGGGTGGCTCGAGAGACGAGAGCCGCAGCACGTTTTAATTACTAATTGAAACGTTCACCCCTCTACCCCCCCCCCCC